TGTTGGAAACCTTATCTTGGGGCCAGCTCAGTCGCACCTTCTGTGGACGACGCGAAGAAATCGAAATATGCAAATTACCCTATCTTTTGGGCGGGCACAACTATGGACAAATGAAAATGCCGCAAATTTCTGGTCGCTTCACAGTGCTTCCTTTTCCTTTTGTGAAACGGACTTGAGACACGAATCTGCACACACTACAAGCTCACATTAGGACGAAAGGGATTTGGTCAATGAGGAAATGCAGCGAAAAAGTACGAAACCTAATAATCAAACGAGGGAAGGTGGTGTAGAAGTTATGAAACAGAACCAGGTTCACTCATTTGCAAACTAATTTGGTTTTGCGAGAGACTCACCTGGAACCCAGATGTTTCCGAGAGACTCAGCTGGGTTCAAGGTGATTTTAATTTGCAAATGAGTGCTTTTTCGCTAATTTCTTACAATTTGGATTCAATTAGAACATGCTTTTACATGCCCTCTCATTGAATTTGGGAAATTCATACCTACAACATCAGAATTCGTAGCAAGTCGTTACTGCATGTGTTCAATTTTTATGTGCAGTGACTGAACACTCGAAAATTCTAAGACTGTGAACACCTACTTAGGCCAATTCAAGGAAATAAAGTTTCATCTGTCGCCGAAACGTATAGTCTTCTTAACCTCCATTAAGATATTCCCGACCTTCTGATTCCGTATTACACCGTACCATCGTGATTTGGGCTTTCAGTTTATCCTCAATATCCAGGACACCGTTTTGGTTGAGAGCAAGCCAATCATCCCATCCCGTGTGATTTCTAGTGAACCTGACAAAATGTGCTCCGGACAGTCACAGGATCAAATCATCAGAGGACTACGAACGACTTCGTTATTTAGACACGATACCTTGAAACGTTGTCATAGTGAGGCACCATCTGTTGTCTTTGGTGACCATAAATTAGAGAAACCGGTGTATTATGAACTGTCCTTCAGTAGTTATCAGTCGTATCCCATGTAATTTAATCCGTGGTGTTTATCACCACATAAAAACCGTAATAAAGGTTCGCATTCTGTCCCTGAGTTGACTCAGACTAAGTGTTGTTTTCCGGATGTCAAGAGCACAGCTCAACATTTGGGGTCGGTCACGATCCAGAGCACCTAACTTTTGGTCTTGGCTCAACACTGATGTGAAGTGCAGCCTGGATGTGCTTGTCGACTAAATTAGTTGAGTTTAACAATCCTCTTGATACGCAACGCGATCCTATAGAAGTTCCGAATGCGCAAAAGAGTAATCGCTAAACGTTCGGTGATGCATTTGGGAAAATTAAACGTCCTAGGTTGAAAAGGTGGGAAGAAAATGAGTGGCCCATTAGTTCCAGTCTGCGAAGTGAACATATCGGAAACCAAGATTGCTCACTTACTGAACTATCCACTGGTTCAGCATACTGCGTTATTCTACCGTTGTCTTTCTAAGTCACTGGGTATGAGCCCCTAGAGTGGTAATTCTCAAACATTTAGCGCACTGACCTTCAACTTCTTAGTTTCAGCATCGGCGCATCCTCGTCTTAAGTGCTTTATACGAACGGGAAAATTCACGTCTTTCAATACAGGCCTCTCCTGAGGGGTGCAGTGCTCCTAAAGATCACCCAATAGCACTTGTTGACAGGCACAATTCACTGTACAGCCCCTCTGAGAACAAGCCACCCACTGTAGAGGCCTACTACTTACTTACGCAAATGTATTAGTACACAAGGTAACATAATAGCTCATGAGATGGGTAAATCTAGTGGATTGACGCCCACTCGGCGAGAATGGACTTATATACTGTTAGAAAATGTAACCTCAGTTTCAACTTTCTGGAAGATATGTGACATGGTTAAACGTTTCCTCATTGCAAACGGTGTGAGAAACCCGTAGGTAAAAGCCTCTTGAGTTTAATGGTTCACGAGGTCATCATTCGTATACAGACTTCTGCAACCAGATAACTCAGTGCATCATTCTGAACACAGATTTTGAGAAACTATTCGTGAACGATTCCATACAGCACTAGAAATTTCGTCAATCTGATTAACAAGTCTCTATTTCATTTATACGAAATATAATGGTAAAATCTATAGAGGAAAATGTTGGTAGCTCAGGTATCGTAGGTGGTGGTCGTTGGCCTGTTCGCTGAGCTGGACAATTTGATTGCAAACGTTTCACCACCAATCGAGGTGACATCATCAGTGCGTTATTGTGGAGTGTAGGAGTGCGTAGCAGTGGGTTGGGGGTTGTGCACAACTACACTCCCCAATAGCGCACTGATGATGCCACCTCGATTGGTGATGAAACGTTTGCAATCAAATTGCCCATCTCAGCGAACAGGCCAACGACCACCACCTACGATACCTGAGCTACCAACATTTTCCTCTATAGATTTTACCATTATATTTCGTATAAATGAAATAGAGACTTGTTAATCAGATTGACGAAATTTCTAGTGCTGTATGGAATCGTTCACGAATAGTTTCTCAAAATCTGTGTTCAGAATGATGCACTGAGTTATCTGGTTGCAGAAGTCTGTATACGAATGATGACCTCGTGAACCATTAAACTCAAGAGGCTTTTACCTACGGGTTTCTCACACCGTTTGCAATGAGGAAACGTTTAACCATGTCACATATCTTCCAGAAAGTTGAAACTGAGGTTACATTTTCTAACAGTATATAAGTCCATTCTCGCCGAGTGGGCGTCAATCCACTAGATTTACCCATCTCATGAGCTATTATGTTACCTTGTGTAATGGTAAAATGTTTATGAAGAACTAGCTAGCTTCGCAAACAAATCTACCGTCCAAATCAAAGACGATCTGAGGATGGGGACAGGGCAGCATACACAAACAGGCATAGTTTGGCGGCAGTACCGCATCAAAAAGCATACTAGGACTGCCGTGGCTCACGCACACACACTGAAAAACCCATGAACCACACATCCATCGAATTCATATAAATACTTCAACTGGGTCCTTCATAGCAGTGCAGTGGTATAAGTACAAACAGCGTCTCGAAGAACTGAGCTAGCAGAACAAGAAAACACGTCCCCTGATTGCTCTTCCTAGCCAAATTTGCTCCAACCATCTATCTCGGTGACGAAATCAACCTTCGAGAAAGGCTGCGGAAGTGTATAATGATCTTGTGTCTGGATATAACGATCACCTTCAAGTTTTGTTATTACTCCTTCATTTTAGATCATCAGGAAAGGAGCCCTTATCTGAAATTCGAGCTCAGTTTCTCAAAATAATATTTTGTGGCCCAACTGGTTTGTGGCCACTCGAAATCGAAATGGCTCCGAAACCTATCAGCTCGTTAGTGACGGAAACGACCACGAATACTGTCCAGAAAGTCTCCTTTATTATCCAGCTAGCACCCTTAAATAGGGATAAAATTTCAGCATCTAAACTGGGGAAGTCAGTGTGAAGCCTTACGGTTTCTAATCTTTCCGAGGAACTGATCGAAAATTAAGCACCCGAAGCACAATTCACAGGTTTTTTTCTAAGTTCGAATTATTATATGAACACATATGTCACCCATCTGTCCACAGAACTGAGGGTCACTGGATATCTCTAATGAGAATAAATGTATGTTAGCTGCTGAACAAGGTGCAGCTTTGTTCGTATATTGAAAGTGCGCTTACTTTCGTACTTTTACTGCACTGTTTATGAAATTAAGTGCAAACGACTAAGTACGCTTTCTCATTTTGATGAGGACACTGCTTATCCTTAAGTCGTTACGTTCACATCGCACAGGCATAGCCGAACTTTTACTCATTAAACATGAAAAGCGAGGTCCACAAATAGAAACCGACTTGCGCTCACCACTTTTTGGATTGTGGTTATACGGCGATATAATAATGGTTGGGAAAATAATGGACGATTAAAAAATGTTGCCCATTAATAGGAAAGCGCCTTGGTCACTTTCTCCCAATCATTAAACATCCCTCTTCTACCGTACTCTACTGAAGACTGATCTGATATAAGACAGCGCTAAAGATTGTCCAACAGAATTTATAGCGTTGGTTTTTGGCATATCAGAGCTGCGTAACTTCCACAATACCGTAGTTTCCTAATCTCAGGCACAGACCCCAGAGCACCATCTGATTGATTAATTTGAGTAATTGACCGAAATAGCCCTGAATATGGGTTAAAAATGTTTGGGAGTACGGATGCCAGTCAGTGTCGCTACTAAAGTTTCATCGCTGAATGAGGAACCGCTGTGTAACGTTACTTAAATACATTTGGTATAGTTAAACACAATAACGGAGGCAACTTTTGTAACTGGCGAAAATTTGTTGCTCACATCCCTTTTGCAAAAGAGGCCTGAGACTCCTATGAAGGTAATGTTGGTTTGAGTAGTCTTATTTTATGGTTTTCTCCTGAGAAAGGATGACTCGGACGCAATAATATCTTAAACGCCTGTTGTCGATGAGAGGAGACTAGCAACAGCACAATCTTATCCAGTTTCTATCCCTCTGCTTGATAACATGACCCACCCACAGACCCCGATGTTCCCATTCGGTCTTAACTGTAGAAAATAAAGTGTTCAACGGGCCTCAGTTGCAACCGCAGAGGAGCAATGGCAAAAGGGGGAGTTAGAATGAGTTGGAATATGTTTTTTTGCGGAATGTGTCTAGACCACTGCATCAAATTGGAGAGGCGTGGAAAATCAGGACGGCGTTGACATACACTACAATTAGGTACGCTGCTGTCTTACGTAGTTGCAGCATTCACCATTAGCATCAGTGATCAAACAGTCTATCTGTGAAGTCCACCAGTTCCGAGGAAGGAGAAGTCCTACAGGCGTCGCGGTCAGACGGTTAGTAGCACGATCACAATTTATAGAAGGAGCTCCCTTCGGAAACTGATTCATAGGTGTCTCTATTGAATCGTGTGAACCTACAGAAGGGTTCATCTTCGTTGTGTGATTCAACGTTAATCCGTTTATTTTATATAGTCCTCCAAACAACGCAAAAGGAAATACATACATATATTGTTAGATATACAAAGCCGGTTGAATAAAAAAACAAAGTACAATCATGAGAAGCTGAAGTACAGGAAATATAAAAAGAACGTGAGACCTGAGAAAAAGTATAGAGGCGCAGGTAAACTCCATAGGAAAGGTTCAATGCATTCGAGATCGGTACACATTCGATGTGCACGACGATACGCGCCAGATGGTGGAGAGGATGGCGAATAATCTAATGTAGGGCGCAGTTACCAATGTGTATTCAGGAATGTGGCACAACCTACAATGTATGAAGAACAGTAACGAAGGCGGGGCAGCGGTTTTGCAGGAATGGACATTTAAACAGACATGACATCGCGATCAACAATGTGAGGATTCTATCTGTTAAGATAACTCCTTTGGCGTGAAACAAAACTGCTTATTCCAGCCCTTTGTTGGTAATCTGCTGTCATTACGAACACACGCTCTACTCTTCTAATATTCGTGAGGGCTCAGCGCAAACCTTATGTTGGAACATCGGGTGTTTTGGAATGGGCCTGAAATTCGACCGGCACACTTGCAACTAAACAACAATACTATGCTCGAAATGACCAAGGTTTTTTTACCGTCGAACTAAGTTTATATTCTTCACTAATTATGCTAGAAAGATCCTCTTCCATCCCGTAAGCAACAGAATTTTTCGGTTGAAACTTTCAACCAGATAACTGATTCTACGTACTGAAAACTAAAGGTATGCTTTCCTCCGAGGGCGTCTAGTGAGCATGAATAAACCGAAAAAAACCATCCATACGGAGCAAACATACCAGAGTACTTAGCACAAGGTACGAACGACAGTAAACAAAAGATGAGGCACAAATACACAAAACATAAATTGATTTATGAATGGAACGAATGAGCGAATAACTAAACAAATTATTATTATTATTATTATTAATAAGTGTGAATAAATCGTTCATCTGTAACAGCCTCTCGGTGCCGAGCTGCCATGCCACCAGAGGGAGGCACCACGGCTGGGATACTGCCAGGTCGCCCAAGCTTAGACAAGAAAAGTCGAGATGCAGAGGTCGGGTTCGAACCAGGAACCTTTCAGTCACTCTAACCATTGGGCTATCTCGCCCCCATTATATGGATACATAAAAAAGAATAACAATTGTTCAGGTACAACCACAAGGGATAAGATATTGTCCAGTTTTTTAAGTCTACAGCAACGGTTTGGGTGGCGGGTTGGATTCGAACCGGAGATCATCCGATGAGTAGGTTCACACCGTTACCACTGAGCCACCTCAAACTCTCAAGCAAATGAATATGTATGAGTTCAACACAGGCAATTAAAAGACAAACACTTCATGATATCCATGAATGATGCCTTCATAGTTGATAAATTAGTAAGCCACAATCACAATACCTCGTGATCACTGCCGTGGGGTTTTGGTATTCCTATGTTTGGAGTAGCCGGAACACAATCGACGCCATCAGCGTCCGGACGATGATTGTTTTGACCACACAGGTTACAGTACATCAGTCCAACAAGTTGTGATAACGTTTGGGCTTCCGAACTATTCAGAAGGAAGTGATCGCTATGCTCCAGATTAGAGGAGAGGGGATCATTCTTCACTTGGACATCCACATCAATGACACTGCCGCAAGGCACGCTATCCAGTATACTGTCGAGTGTCCAGGCGGTCTCATCAGACGACTGAGCATTTGAACCTGCCAGCAATTTGACAGGGGCTTCAAGAATTGGCTCATTCGGGTTGTGAGTTAATCGCTTCTCGCCCTTGTAGTAGAAACTTGATGACCGGAATTGTGCATCACCAAACCTAGAGCACAAAAGCTCACAAATCCGGAGGAATGTAGGCCTCTTTGCAGGATCATATGCCCAACAACGAGCCATAAGCGCCAATCTGAAACCAAAACAACCGACTTTTTGGCAGCTGACTGTAATGTAGATTGAATGTCACAAACAAGAGGGGTGGTAACAGGGAAACCTCTGTGACTGGTGGTACAACAAACAAGAGGCTGATTCAACCTAATGTTTAGTAGAAAAGTTAACCGAATTCAAAATACCCAGCAGGCCGACTGGGTTGGACTAAAATAGATTTAGAATGGAAAAAAGATCGGGGTTTAGAAAATTGGTGAAAATCCGTACCTTACCACTTAAAAGTGGTTCTTTCTGCAGGACGCAGTTTTACGTGCAAGGGCAGCTAATGAAAACTAACAACTTAGCACGACGGTGTTATCATGAATTGCCAACGCAACCTTACGCGGCTGTTTCCGACCTGATAATAAATCTTTGTCTATGGATCCATTTAGGCAAAGTGGCGGCTAAACTACCTCATGCACCCATTCTGTACACAGCCCGAACCAAATCAGAGTGACTACAGACCCCAATGTTGAAAAATATTCAACCGCACGCTCACGAGAATAGATTCACTGGGGGTGACGAATTAAATACTCGAGTTCATAGTAAAGTCCACAGGAAAGCTGATCCATTCCGAGAATCTTTATTGACCAGTTTTGCTCACAACCGACTCAAAAAGACTGAAGATGCTGATGGAAGTTCAGTACGAAGACTGAAGCACTGTAGAGAATGTCTCGAAAATAACCGAACATGCCTGCGTTGTCTGTCGCCGCTTCGTCACCAAACACGACTAGGAAGGAACTCGTGTGGCGTATAATACATCGCTGTACACACTTCCTATTTTTTCGGGAGCCATTCTGTAACGGTTGTGCTATAATTTCTAATCTATCTTGGCGCAATCCTACGTAAATAGGGTGCTACCCACTAAACACCCCCTTAGCTGACGAATTTCAGCCCCAACGGCGACTAGCTTGAAAGCTGACAAGGAGATACCCATACAGAGATAGGTATGGCCCAACCGTGGCGTGTGGTCCGACAGAGATTAGCACTGGATTGCTGAGAGGCCTAAACTACGAAGTCCCGCCGACAGAGAATCATGCTGTAGAGTACAACAGAGAAAACAGTCGGCTTAACAGCAAAATACCTGAACTGCCAAACGAAGAAGAATAATTTCACAAGAGGAGCGAAGCTTCCTTCCGAAAAGTCGGCACGCAACAAATCAGTCAGTACATGGCCATGTGGATTCCGTTAGACAGGATTCCACACGGATCCCGCTATACCGCGGGATCATCACGCGCTGCTACGGCCGATAAGCCTAGCCCGCACGAGATTGGCCAAGAATTCGCGACGCTTGCCGATCTGACATCAAGACGAACTCTGATTGGTCGAAAATCTGGACCCAACAGCCAATCATGACTCAGTATTGACCAAATGCCGGTTGCCAATGTCGCATCCAGAACGCGTCAGAATTTCCAGAAGGTTATAACCGCCTACGCCATATGTACGAAGCGCTGTACAATTGTACTTGACTTCGTTTCGGGCATTAATAGACCTTGCGCACCTTTGGTGGTTGTTTTGACGTGAACACTGGCTTGGGAGGCTTAGACCGAGAACTAAGCTGAGGAAAATACCGTTACTACAGATTCCGTAAAAGGAAAATCATTATTCACGATGCTGATGAGCCGCTCGTGTCCGAGCGGTTGTGCTCAAACTACTAACCAGGAGGTCGAGGTTTGGAATCTCCATAGGGTTTCGTGAGATGCACACTGGTGATGATTTCCCATGAGTATGACACAGCTGTAGAGTGCTTCTTTACTTTTCAGCATATACTGGCTTCACTTACTGGACGAAGTCTCAATTGGAAAGTACCGGATCCTCTCACACCACCATCAAATGATGACTCCCAATTTCAGACGCAGAGTACGCGCCATAAGTAAAATGCACGCTCTCATGGCTCCCTATAATGGCAATATCATCACACAATGTGTATCAACCGGAACACAGATGGGTGAGGCATAGAAATAGAGGAAACGTTTGAAACCGGTAAATCAAATCGGTTACAGGTCAATGCAGCGATGAAACATACGATATCTACACTCACAACAGGCCAGGACAGTTAGCGGGCACGGTGTTGGTAATTAGGGTGTTCCCTCCCAGTGTGTAGCGGATCACTTGTTCGTGAGACATACCACGGTAAGGTAGACAGGCCATGGTAGCGACTTCCCACAAGACCACACCGTATGACCTGAGAAGAATTCAAAGGTAGTATGGAAACACGGTGTAAAAAAAGACAAGAACAACTTGTAGTTCCCACAACGTGTGAAAAAATCGCAAGGAGGCGGCTCCCTTACTGAAACGCGTTAATTGAGCACATCCCGATGGATGTAGCAAGATACCATCAGGTTGTTAGAAATTAAACAAAGGTGGTTGGGAAGCCAATATATCAACTGCTCAGTCGGCGGTCATCGATCACACTGCATATATCACGCAAATGTGAAAGACAATGGCTTGATTTAATGCACACAATAGGGTTAGTATTGCTGAGAATGATACTTAGGGCCTCAGGTTTGGTGAACAGCACAAAATTTTACACTGTCATGCATTGGACTATGTTTGTATTTTAATTTCCCGACGGGCCCACCCCAACTGGTCAGCAGGATCAGTTAAATATCATTAATCGTCCATTTCAACCGCACATCAATCCGATTAGTACTAGGCATGGCAATGGGTTGCAAATCATTAGTAAACGGCACTGCTCATACAATCGATCAAAATTACTTGACAGTCCGCTATCATGTCCGCTTTCTGTTTCGACCTTCAAAAGCCTCATTAGATAGGCGTAGTTCGCCAACTCGCTTAACAGCGCTTTATAAGTGAACAACAAAATGGACGTATGCAGAATAATACACATGTTTATAAATTAATCTGTTCCTAAGAAAAGGCTCAGTTCAACATTTCGTTTAAGATAACCCCAAAAACTAATAGGCTGCCGAACAGCTCCATCAATATTACAACCAGTGGCGTATCAAGAAAGAAATGATTCGATAAATTGCATTTCGGTCTAAAATCGCACAATATATTCGGCTGAAGGATGCCGCACGTAAAAGATTGCTCACATAAGAATTTTCAAGTGAATGTACAACTCCAAATAATCCAACTTTCCTGAGAAAAACACAAGGACACCTATGGAGAAATCATGAAAAGACTATGGTTACTCCGTAAGGAATTCGCGGCGAAAAACCTAGCAACAGTGGAACTACATGTAGCCCTACGTCTATACCGATGCAACTTCAACCCAAAAAATGACAATTTTAATAATTCTGCCGTTATGCGTGTTCCACTGGTTGGAAAAAACTACTGGGATGATACGCACATCCTTCCTTTCCGAGTGGACTACACGAAGCACACTCTCATGAGAGTAGGAAAGCCAGTAAGATCAAGATCCAAGACATCCCTGGGCAACCACAACGGTTGACATGCATAATCTTAATGCGGTTGACTGACACTCAGGCTCCGGTTTACTGTAGCACAAGGAACAAAACAAAAAAGCATGCGCTCGTTGGGTCAAGCGATAGCATCCAAAGCCTAAATAGATAATTCAATCACTGGATCAACCTCTGGTTGATCTGCTGTACTCACAGCGGCAATGAATGTGCATACCAGCTTGTGTACCAACTCTGTATTAGCAGAGTTACTGAACATGCATGATTAACCTGATTCAAGTCGTCCGAATAGCGTGAATGTGGGAGTTTTCATTCACATCATTCTCGTCGGTTATGGCACTGTGTCACATGTGGACTCGCCTTTGTTTTCGTCATAACAGTGCAAGTTTCAAGAATGATAACCGGTATAACTGGACCCGTTATTTGATAGTTAATCCACCCGATCTTAAATCGAAGGTCAAAGAATTTTTGGTAAAATGTGGGGGCACCATTGTTGGTGGGCAAAGTACTCCCTTAGCACTCCTCATCCACGACCCACTCGTTCAAAGTGTGGCGGTGTTGAATTTTCGGAAAACCGCCAGACTGAGTAAGTGTGATGTTTGTAGACGGCAAGCTGAACCACCTCTCTCTGGAGCCGAGTGGGTAGCCTGCACGTCAGTCTGGGTAAGGCAGGAGTTCAGCAACTCCAGACAGGGCAAACCACACCGTTTAGTTTCAATGTGCTGGTTGCTTCCGATAATGTACACTACGAATCATCTGGCGCCTCCGCACCAGTTCCACATAGTACACGGGTGAGACTCGTGTGAGTGCCGCAAGTGTGTGCAAGTGCCGCAAATCGAAAGCTGGCTTGGTAACCCACTATCGAGGTCGCAACAATTAACGTTTTGGTATGAACATGGTCGCCCAGTGGGCCTGCGCTGATTATTCCCGCCTTTAATCGACGATGATTGGCCCCAGTCAGCTTCGCCGGCACGCGCACCCCACCCAGCATAATGCAGACACGCTTGGCCGAGTAAAGTATTCCGATGCCCGCTGGTCCCAACAAGAGTCACAATCGCTCTTACGCCTGGCTAACAATTTATATCAATCTTGTGGCACGCAGACCACGCTGTTCGTGAGTTTGGAGCAGTATTTTCTTGGTCGATCGACTATCAGCGTCAAAACCAGGTTACGGGTGCTTAACTGGCAAGCACAACAGGACGAATCATCTGGTGAACCTGACCAAACTATCGTCCAGATAGCTGCCTACTCGTCAAAAGCTGATGACTATCGAGTCTGGTTTAACAAACCGTAGATTACACCGTGTCACTCTTGGAGTCCAATGCTGACAGTTCGCTTGCTAGTATTGATCTTCTGGTATTTGCCCGAGGATTGCAGTCTGACACCGAAGCAAGTCCTGTCGCGACTGGACCTCCACGCCTCCACCACACACCTGGAAAACTGTATCCCAACGCCGCCGACAGTTAGCCCATTGGATCCAGGACAACGGAAAGCAGACCCGCCGAGCCAACTACGCCGCCAACTAGACACTATACGACCAAAGACGGAAAGATGCAGCGTCTGCTGTCCTCGATGGGTCATGGAAGGATTTATGCAAAGGTAACTACGGCCTACCTATGGACGCCGAGCAGTATTGGAAACAAGTGCTCTCAGCTCCAAAACACGGGGATAGCGGACTAAGTCGCATAGTAGTACCATCCGAATGGAGCTTGATCGAGCCAATTACAGGAGAGGAAGTCGGTCGTACGACCCGTTTAATGGGCAATTCGTCCCTAGGCCTGGACAAGCTCACAGCCCGGATGCTCCACCGGTTCAATGCTAACGTGCTCGCTGGGTATTTCAACCTGCTGTTATTATCTGGGGGTTGTCCCCCACATTTGTGTCGAGCCCGTATTACTCTAGTTCCGAAGGTCCCAGATCCGACTTCACCAGATCAACTGAGACCGATTTCCGCGTCATCCATTCTTGTTCGTTGCGTCCATAAGGTGCTTGCTGATCGCTGGAGTCGTGGATTGCAACTGCCCTCACTCCAGTTTGCATTTCTGCATCGAGACGCCTGTTTAGAATCCACATCGCTGTTGCATGCCCTGCTTTGTAACTCTTCAGCGACTACTTCTGACCTCAGCTTGGCGTCTGTTGACATCTCGAAAGCGTTTGATTCGGTTTCACATGACACAATCGTCAGATCTGCCGAGGCGTTTGGAGCACCGTCACCTCTAGTTCGATACATCGCACAGTCCTATGAGAATGCTGTAGCAGTTTTCCCCAGTTCCGAGCTTCACTACCACAGAGGTGTGAGACAAGGGTGTCCACTCTCCCCACTATTATTCATTATGGTAATGGATGAGGTTCTTGGATTGTCGATGCCGCAACTGGGATACCAGTTCCATGACACTTTAGTAGATGGTTTTGCCTTCCCTGACGACTGGGTCGTGTGTGCAGAAATTCAGGCCCAGTTGGGAAGAGCTGGCATGAAAATAAACACCCGAAAGACGCAAGTGATGGCTATTTGTGGGGACAGGAAACATCGGCCAACAGCAGCCTCAGTCGAACCATTTCGCTTCTCCGAGGAACTCATCACTCCTCTGGGTCCGACATACACCGTAACATATTTGGAAATTCCCTTTACTTCCAACGGGAAAGTGATCTTCAACCACCGACAGCATCTGCTCAAGCTGCTCGAAGAAGTGACGCGTGCCTCGTTGAAGCCGCATCGAAGAATGGATATCACCAGGAGCTACCTGATACCGAGGCTGACATATTCACTCGTGCTCGGCCAAGTTCACCAAAACACGCTCAAAAGATTGGACAACTACATCAGGCAACATATCCGTGGCTGGCTACGTCTACCGAAGGACACCCCGATCAGCTACACCCACACCGGTAAACAACATGGGGGACTTGGTATCCCAAGCCTGAGTGCAACAATCCCGATGTAGCGGAGAACGCGCATGGAAAAGCTCTTTTCTACTCAGTGCCGAGTACTACGCAATGTGGTTAACGATTCCGCATTTGGGAAAATTGTTAGGGATCTCAGCCTTCCGATCCGAGTCCATGGTGCATGCGCAAACACCAAGGAAGAGCTGGTGGCTACTTAGGGTGATAGTCTGCACAAGAGCCTTGATGGTTGCGGTTTACGAGAGTTGGTCGCTTCGCCCCTCTCAAATCGATGGCTCGATTTTCAGAACGAGTGTTTCCCCGGTTGTTTTTTATCAGCGGGATCCAGCTCCGATGCAACCTGCTCAGGACGACACTTAGAAGCGCTCGGCATGGTAATGGTGGCCAGACGACCTTATGTCGTGGAAACTGTGGCCAACCGGAGAGTTTGGTGCATATTTTTCAATCCTGCTGGATGACGCATGATGCCAGATGTGCTCGTCATAATCGGATTGCAAGGGAACTCGCAAAACGTCTCCATCGACTGGGGTACGCCGTCTACGAGGAGTTGCGAGCACCTACTTCGACGTCTTCATCAAATCTGACCTAATCGTTGTTCGAGATCGCCGAGCAACTGTAATAGACGTCATCATAGTCTCGGGTGGGTACGGAGTGACTGCGTGGAATTAGGAGAGGAACTATGGTGCTGATGAATAGTTCCCCGCCATAATCTCAGTCCTACGTGCTATTGGTTGTGATGTCGACTTTCTGGTTCACCAACCGATTATCATCCTCTATCGATGGATCTTGCCAGAAACAGTTCGTGATCAGCACAACCAACCGATATCCTCTATCGATGGATCTTGCCAGAAACAGTTCGTGATCAGCACACAACTGAAGGAGGCGATCCCCGTTATCTGTTCGGTCGGCATCGACTCCGAATCGACCACCCAAATGTGATTCCAAGGAGCTCAGACGACCTACTTGGGCAAGTACGAACTTTCAACATAAACGTTCGCATCGCGTAACCTGGCGGCCACCAACTACAAATCAACCGTGGACCCAATTGGACCACGTGGCCATCAGTCACCGGTGGAGAGCCACAATTCAAGACTGCCGTTCCTTCTGGGGCACACCACTTGATTCCGATCACGCCATGGTGCGCGCACGC